ACTGTTTCATTGAAACACATCCCTACTAACAATTACCCTAACCCCTGGGGCAGCCCTTTCCCATAGCCTATAACCCTTTGTTCCCTCTTGATATCCTAAAAAAACACACTTGAGGGTCTTGGTTCTAACTTTCCATCTCTGGTATGGGCATATGCAGCACATCCAAAGACTCTTAGGTCTCAAGAGATGGTCTTCTTTCAGACCACTTTTCTTCAGGGCACTTAAAGTCTATTGAGCTAGAAGGGCTCCTATTTATAAGGTAACAGCTGTGCCTAATGCTTCCCCCAAAAGTTTTTGGTAGACCAGCAGTGAATAAAGACATCTAACCCTTTCAGCAGGGTTCTGTTCATTCTCTCAGCACTCCTTTGCTGAAGGGTTCCCCTAACAGTCCTATGCCTCAAGATTCCCTCTTCTACACAGTAAGAGTCAAACTCCTGATTACAGAATTCTAGGCCATTGTCTGTCCTAAGGTTTTTCCTTCCTGTTAACTTGGTTTTCAACCAAGTTTTTCTAGCCTTTAAACTTGGTTAAGGCTTCATCTTTAGATCTAAGTGGGTACACCCTACCTTTCTGCTATAGTCATCTACAATGGAGAGGAAATAACAGTTCCTCCATGTGTTCTGACCTTTTCAGGACCCCAGAGATCTGCATGAACATAGTCCAACCCTTTTTCAGCCAGATGAGTTCCCTTTTGGAAACTCATTCTATGCTGTTTCCCAACACACAAACTTTACAGAAAGTTAAATCAGATATGATTCCTTACCAAAAGCCATGTTGGCTTACACGTCATACCTTTTTGGCCTATGTGGCCAAGTCTCAGATGCCATTTTTCTGCAGCAGTCAGATGTAGATGATAAAGTAGACTTCACAGTGAGGGCACAGTGTTGACCACACAGAATGTACATCCATTTTGTTTGATCCTCAAGTATATTTCAATTCTTGTACACCACTATGATCCTTTTTCTGCCTTATAACTACATCCAGCTTCATCCAAAGTTCCCAAGGAGACCAGGTTCTTTTGAGGTCAGGAATATATCTCACTCTGGTTAACATTATGATTTTGCCATTATTCAACCTAATGGTTATGTTTCCTATGCCTTGAACCTTACAAGTGATTATTGCCCATGAAGACAGTTTCTAACTCTCCTTTCCTAATTCTGAAACCATTGAATGTTGGACTCATATGAAAAGTACACCCCGAATCTAGAACCCATTCCTTTTGCTAGTGTGGTTTGAGACAGTGAGGGCTTCTGAGACTTCAATGCCAGTGCTAGTGCTAGCTAAGTTACTCTCAGTATTGTGCTGTTTTTGTTTCTTTATCCAATCATAGCAGTTTCTTCTTAAGGTGGCCAGGTTTATTACAGTGGAACACTTCCTAGTTTCTCCCTTAGACTTGTTATTCTTCCCTTTTTCTAGCCCTGGGGTTTATGTGTTGTTGGAAATTCTTATTGCTATCCCTTCCTGATTGTCCTGGATCTGACTACCTTTGACAAACAGGTTATTCCTATTCCTTTCTGTATCTTCAACTCCAACTCCCTAGATTTCAGACCTGCTATACAGGTCAACACTGGGAACTGTCCCAGTGTATTGTAAAACATTCTTCACCACCAAGTACTCATCAGGCAGTGAATTTAACAATATCATTGCCAGACTAGAGTCTCCCAACTCCTGATCTGTACCTTCAATATAATGTCATCTTAAGAAACTCATCAAGGTTTTCTTCTACAGACTTAGTACATCCACTTATAAGAAAATAGGGCTCCTTTAAGAAATGCTAGTTTGGTGCAGACTGTAAGAATAAGAGATTCGAGTTTACCCCAAAGTGTGAGCGGTGTTTCCATGCCATCACCTTTCGCAGGACTGCATCGGACAGATTCATTATGATCAGATTGTAGGCCTCCTCTCCACTTCACCCATCTTTTTCAGTTTCTCTTCAAACCATTAGTGGCATCTTTTTCTAAGGCAAGCCCAACTTTATTATGCGAAAGAAGGGCTTTCATCTTCTTTTTCCATGTATTAAAGTCGATCTTCCCATCATATTGGGAGATCTCCATACGAGTGTACTCATTGAATTTTAGTAACAGGACAGAACAGTCAAAGGGTACGTGGCGTTGTTATACCAGAATTCCCAATTACTGCCAGGCAGTTTTTAAGGCAGTCACTGGTGTTCCACCTAAACACCCTTAAACTGTATCACACTGCAGACACAAATAGGACTAAAGTGACAAGACAACACAGCTAAAACCGTCAAAGGTACGTGGCGTTGTTATACCAGAATTCCCATTACTCCAGGCAGTTTTTAAGGCAGTTACGTGTTCCAGCCTAAATACCCTTAGACAAGACCTAGACCTTTTTCCCTTGACTCGTGTTTGTGACCCAGACCAATCAATACGACCTGATTCAAGACCAATTTCGAAAACCCTAAGGCCCTATAAGCCTTTAATTCGAAAACCCCCAAATCTGACAAACCCTAATTTTAGATTTGTACGAACTTCGTCGATTCCTTGTGCCTGTAACTCAATCTCACGAATTTAACCCCAAGACTAGCAAGATCTGAAGTCCTAACGATCTAGGATCTTGAAATCGAAAATCCCAAAATCTGACAAACCCTAATTTTAGAATTTGTACGAAGACCAAACGTTTCTAACCCTAAATCCCCATAACTTTCTAGCGCTGATACCACTGTTATAACCTAAGCCTAACAAGCAATTCACAAAAAGAAATAATCACACAACAAGATTAACGATCAAAGAATCACACACACACACAGGCACGATTTTACCGTGTTCGTCTATTCAATCTTGAATAGACTACATCCACGTTGAGCTTCGAAATACGACACTCACACACTAAGAAGATATTCAACGATTACAAGAAGGATAAGACAACAAATGCCAAACAGATTAACACCCAACCAAGGCTTCTACTCACTAATCTTTCTATAATCTGCAAGACACAGAGAACAAACACTAGCCTCTGGAAGGAAACGCAACCCTCTCTCAACTAACCAGATTAACCCAGAAAGATTCAGCAGAGAAAACCCACCTCAGTTTCCCTCTCTCTCTCAAACCCTAAAACCCGATGACAATGAACAACCCTCTCTCTCTGATCACTGTTGCTCTTCTTTTTTGTCTCGTTCGTAATTCTCAGCCCTTGGTCTGTCTTGATATGACGGCTGAGAAACGGTAATGGTCTTAACAAAACGACCCCGTTTGGCTTGAATATACTTAAGTGAAACAGCTCGTTTTGGCTTCATAATTACTTTCAATCTTCCTAAGTTTTATGGCCCTTTCTCACCACTAACCTAATGGTATTGTGGTGGTCCTATTCATCTTCCTAAGTTTCATGGCCCTATTCTCACCACTAACCTAATGGTATTGTGGATGGTTAGTGCATCTTTACACTTCCCTCCAAACACCCAATTATTTCTCTCCCTCCAAATCCAATAGATAGTGGCATTAAGGCACAATTTTGCCAAAAATACTTTTTTCTCTTCCAATTTAAGGATAAGTCATTAATATAAGCATTCCATAACACTGTCCTATAGCCCATAGAGCTAATGGCAGGTTGGCTCCAATAGTTGAGAAAAGTGCAAGAGAAAAAGAGATGACCCAAGGTTTCTTGGACCGAATTACGAAAACAATAACATGAGTTTTGAAAAATTACAAAACAGCATTTTCATTTTTTCTGTTTCAGCTTGTATCATAGAATCACGGATTTTGATTAAGTGTCTTTTATCATGTTAATTTTATAGTTGATAACTCCTAGCTAGATGTTATATTTTTTTAGTAATCTTTCATATTTGTGGTGTACAACTAACTACAAGCGAATATATGTCACACGTAATGATATGACACTATATCGTTGGCCGAATGTACATATTACAGGAGTATTTTGATTTTGTTCTATAATTTTTTCCTTTTCTTGAATCTCATTCCCTTGTTCCGCCCGAGGCTTATAAAAAAGATAAAGAGGTGTTGTAATTGGAAAATTTATATAATTACAATATTACATAAACTTTTTACTTCAAAGTGCTATACTACTGTCGATTAAGTTCTTAACCGATCGGCAGTGTCCTTCATATATCTTTTATATGCATATAAACTTTTCTCTTTTCGGAGATTAAGATTGTTTCTTAATCGGATTTTTTCCCTTCATCAATAAGGTTTTGATATTAAATACATTCCAATAAAAATAAACACATAATTTTAGGACAATACTTATAAAACCTCTAGATCAATTTTTTTTATAAGACCTGTAAATTATATTGCATCTTAATTAGTTATTTTTCCATTAAAATGTTTCATCCCTTTCATTGTTGTCACAAGATCATCTTCTGATTGAGGTGGAATAAATAAAATTTTGAATAATATAGTGACTGCTTCTTTTTTTTTATTGTTTAGCAAGATAAAATTTATATGGATATTACTAAAACTAAGATATTATTGAGAGTGCGATTTTACGCCTTAGACCAACTCGGCCTTCCCAACAACAAAGAGCAACGTTAAAGAATATTATCACAATTTTATTTTTATATATATAAAACATGTCAGTGAAGAGATCCTATCAAACATAATACTTTAGTAAAGTAGGGTAAATTAAAAACGATCAAATGGTCTTGATATGAAGAGGGGATCGAATTCGGTGAATCATGAATGTGCTATTTGAGTGATTGAATCCTTATTTTAATTTGATTGGCATTAGAAGATGATGCATTTGAAGTTCAAACCTTTTGGGAAGTGGGGTAGAATCAGCAAGAAACAAAGGCTATTGACTCTTAAGATATAAAGATAAACCAAATCAGCACCTTTATTAAACAAACTCGATCGATTACATTGCCTCAACTCATTAACGCACACGATAATGTGCTGAATCTACTACTGTTTATGCACTCCTAATCTCCAGCTAAATCGCTAGAGCAGCGAACTTTATTTCTTCTTCTACAACTATGTACCACACTTCATGCAGTACTTCTTCACTTACTACTCATCGCCGTCAATCTAATAGGGTGAACGGAACTGACAGCCCTGGCTGGGTGAAATGTTACACATGCTAGGCAATTCACTGGCTGTTTCATAAAGTTCCTGAACATCCTCACCTCTGAACTGTCCCTGTTGCTGCTGGTGCCTCACCATTTGCTCTAGGTTCTGGCACCTGCACCGTCTGTCTACTTCCTGCAACTCCTGACAACATTGCTTGAAGCATTTTTGTCTCTGGTTCCAGCGTCCACCTTGGCTCCCCTGGATCTCCTGTTGCACGTACCTTTGGCAGTGCCTGAATCGCTCCTGCTGTTCGAACTGCTGTTGGCAACTCTGCCCACGGCTTGAGTCTTCTTCAACCTCAACAGTAGCGCGTTAGGTGGAGGCGTTGGCCACCAGGAGGAGGAGTGCGAAGGCAGATAGGAGGACTACGAGCTTTGCCATTGCTGTTAGTTGGGGATTACTATTATATTTGTGTTTGAATGGTGAGAGTTGGAGTGTGAAGATGGAGTATTTATAGGAAAGTTTGGGTTTTCCATGGTCTATACGTGTAAGATTAAGTGTTCAGAGCAAATATTTGTTGGTTGTGAATGACGGTCACACGTAGAATTTTACATGCAATTTGTTGGCACAAATGGTTTTGTTCTATTGTGGAGATGCTTTTAGACCTTGAGGATGTAGCAATCGAAATTGATGATTTGAAAAGTTACTAGCTGTATTGTTTAATTAATTAATTTTATATATATATAAAAAACAAATTAACAATATAATAAGTGCTGTATGATACACTTTACCTGCTTATAAATACATATTAGCTGGGATTGAAGTCTGATGCGATATCTGATATTTGTTATATCATAATTTTAAAATTTGAAGGACCCTTTTCTCTGAGTTAAGGTCGATCGATCACGAGAGTTCCTCTGTAAATAATTCCAAAAGGATCCACGAAGAGCCAAAAAAATCAGTTTGTGGCAGTATTTGCATCACCGGCCAGCACCGCCTAACACTTGGTGGCGTGCATGCAGCAATTCGACACCGCAACCCCCCTGGTTAACTGCATTTCGAAGATGAACACAAAAAGCTATTGGACAACCAAACAGAGACCTAATTTTTGTTTGTTGCCGCCTTTGCACGACATTGTTCCACCTGTAAGTACAAAGCCGACCACCGAACCATGCAGAGCCAACCCAGCAAAACCTAACCATGTCGTCTTCACGTGGCTAGCTTACATGCGAAACGTTATGAAGCCTCGTGTATTTGTGTTTAATTAATTATTCATGTGTGTTTGTGAAAAATCATAAGAGGCCACGCTTTTCCTAGTTTTATTCAAACCAAATCTGCTTTTGCAATCTGATTGATAATATATAATTATTCGAATAAAAAAGAACCTATATGAAAATTTACAAGTAAAATAATTTTGCCCCTGAAGCCCAATTGTGATATTGTATTCACAAGATATAATGATCTTCTGTAATGTAGATTCTGTATGTATATTATTAATGTTCTGAGCATTCAATAGCGGTTTTTAATATCCATATATTCCCTGACAGCATAAATGCAGCGACCAGACCACTCTCAAACACATCTTCCCATTCAAACAGCTACCTTTTGTGACTGCTGTTTCCTTTTAATATCTTTTTCGTTGAGGAGATATTAATCAATGATGCATCTTAAATTCTGAATGGATCATAAATATGAAGCTTAGAATCATATTAGGAAAGTAGGGTAAAATTAATAAGAAACACGGGAACAGCCTCTTGATATATATAAGAAGATAAGCTAGCACTTTTATTGGAAAAAGCAAAAGAACAAAATTTCGGATTACATTTTCCTCAAGTCTAGCCACACACTAACAACGACACACACGATGATGTGCTTGATTATTAGTACTACAACCTATTCACCTGTAATCTCCAGCTAAAAAGCCAAAGCAGCAGTGAACTATTTATTTCTACTACTGCAACACATATCACGCATGTACATCTCCATATGCTGGCGATGATGATGATGATCTAATAAGACCAGTATGGTGAACTGAACTGACACCCCTGGCTGGGTGAAATGTTGCACATGCGAGGCAATTCACTGGCTGTCTCATAAAGTTCCTGAAGCTTCTCACCTCTGAACTGCCCCTGTTGCTGCTGGCGCTTCACCATTTGCTCTAGGTTCTGGCACCGGCACTTTTTGTCTACTTCCTGCAACTCCTGGCAGCATTGTTTGAAGCATTGTTGTCGCTGGTTGATGCGTGCGGTGAGCGAGTGTCCGTCTTGGCTCTTCTGGACCTCCTGTTGCACGTACATTTGGCAGTGCTTGAATTTTTGCTGCTCCTCGAACTGCTTTTGGCAACTCTGCCCACTGCTCAAGTTTTCTCCTTCAACTTCCACAGTGGCGCGGTAGATGGAGGCGTTGGCCGCCAGGAGGAGGAATGCGAAGGCAGACAGGAGGAGTACGAGCTTTGCCATTGCTGTCGGGGATATGTGTTGTATTTGTGTTTGAATGGTGAGAGTTGGAGTTGTGAAGATGAAGTATTTATAGGAGAGTTTGGTGTTTGCATGGCTTATACGTGTAAGATTAAGTGTTCAGAGCAAGTATTTGGTGGTTGTGGATGAAGGTCACACGTAGAATTTTCATGCGATTTGCTGGCACATAAGGGTTTTTGTTTTGTTATGGAAGTGCTTTATGGCTGCCTAGGGATTTGGCTATGGAAATTGCTGGGAAAATATGCATCACCTGAAGTCTGCCATCAAATTGTTTGCATTGTATTTCAATTATCCAAACAGCCCTCAATTTCAGTTAGCTAGATGATGACTGAAGTTACCCTGTTGTGACATTGTGGCAACGAAGAAATGAGTTGAAACCCTGTGGTGACATTGTATTTCAGTTATCCAAACAGTCCTCAATATCTTAAAGATATATTTCTCCTATATTGTTGAAATTAGAGACTAATTCAGCAGGCAAGAGTTGTGCATAAGACATCTTTCTATGCCCAATATTTTAAATCAAATTACAATATTATATTAAATAATTCCTATATATATATATATATATACATATAAATTTGGATGATTTTAAGTTAATAAAAAACTATAGTTTTTTTAAATTTAGAAATCTTTTACAAACTTATCATACATCTTTTTTTATAAGAAAGGCATTTTTTATTTCGTGAGAGTGAAATTGGAAGTCTAAGACTGGGCCGTATCAGGCCACTATTTGGGCCTATGCAACAGTCCAATAGTTTTTTAATTAGATGAGACGACGCCGTTTGATTGTAAAGCCTGATATTCTGTATTTTCCCTGGCAAAACTCTCTGACACGAAAAGGTACACTGTTTTCTTTAAGATATCTGTCAATCAACATTGAATTGACAATTATAGCCTTCTATCAATTACCCTTACTCACGCTCTCTCCTCTCGGCATAAAACACACTCGCTCTCACACCTCGCCACCTGTCTATTTTCCACGTTTTAGTTAACGGTAGCGTAAACGGTTGAAATTAGTACTCTCGCGAGTATTCAACATGTATTAGCTTACCTAACCCTGCGAATTTCGTTTTCCTATAATTCCAATTCTAGATCACTCTCTCATATTTTTTCTTTGTCACCAAACACCAGCTTAGACTTATCCGGTTTAGGGTTTTTTTCGATCTCATCGATCAGACTCTCGCGAATCTCGAACCCTAATATTCGGATCAGGTAATCAACAAGCCTAATAGTTTCTGCTGCAAAGATCTCTTTTCTTTCTTTAATTTTCTTTTCGTGTGAAAATTTGGGGGTTTCTTGTTGAATGATTTATTTATTTATTTTTTTTATGTCGAAAATTAACAATATTTATGGTTTTAATTATGGTTCGGGTTACTTTGATTCTTTAATTCTTTAGTTTTGGTTTTAATTGAGGCTTTAATTTTGTGTGTAATTTAGCTGATTATGTAACAAGTTTCTGATGTGTTGACTTTGTTACATAGGTCTGAGTTCTGGTTGTTAGGCCCCTTTCATCAGCCAAGGTTCATGTCTGATCTCGATAACCAGATTCCTACTACCTTTGGTAAGCTTCTTTATAGATTATATCACAACTGGACGTCTTTAGTTGCAATTTTTTTGAACTTCTTCGTATTTTTTACTTTGAAATTATCGCTTTCTAGCATGAGAAGCGCGCTTGTTTATAGCTTAGTCGAGATCATGGTGGATTTTATGAACTGCCCTACATAATATGAAATAAGATTATAGGAGAGGCTTGCATGGTAGGTTTTGGATTGTAGTATTATCTTAAATTAGGGTAGTGATAGCAAATTAAGTATCGCAAGAGTTCCGTATGCTTTCGTATGTGCCTACAAAACATGAAACTCTGCGGTGCTGTATTTTTACTCCAGTTACAATTCCAAGTTTATACGGTGAATATTGAATATTGGTCTTATGTTATCATTGATTGTGTTGTGAGCTTGTTCTATACTAATTTTTCATTTAACTCTTATACTATTACATCATATGTGTCATCCTGCAAATTCGTAAATTTCTTTTTAATTCAATACCAAAGAGCTTCTTTACAATCCAATGTAGAATCTTAATTTAACAGCCTTGCCTGTTTTTCTGTAATAGAAACCTAGTTTTATAGTTGTAAAGATGTAAATTGCGAACTGGCTTTTTTACTTGTAATTTTTAGATGATAATTTTCTGATGTCAAGCCCTCATCTTTTTTGTGAATAAATTTTCGTTATTACTTGCACAATCTTTAGGAGTCATAATCGATCTGGTTACAACAATATTTCTACCATCCTCATCATGTTGTTATTCTTTTTCAGTTACTTTCATTTTCTAATTATTTTACATCTTCCAAGCTTTTGAGCTCTATTGGAAAGCCTAACCACTCTGTTTTGTCTGGGTGATAGATCCGTTTGCTGATGCAAATGCTGAGGACTCGGGTGCTGGGACAAAGGAGTATGTGCATATTCGTATTCAGCAAAGGAATGGTAGGAAAAGCCTGACAACTGTCCAAGGGTTGAAGAAAGAATTCAGCTACAACAAGATCCTCAAGGACCTCAAGAAGGAGTTCTGCTGCAATGGTACAGTTGTCCAGGACCCTGAATTAGGACAGGTACATCTCTTTGATCGACCTAGCTTAATCAACTATTTATTTCCATTCTTATTTTTGTTGGCTTATCAATTTGCTGTGCATGTACAGGTTATTCAACTCCAAGGTGACCAGCGGAAGAACGTGTCCACCTTCCTTGTCCAGGTACATCTGATTTCTCCATCTTTTGATTTTCTTTCTTTTTTTGCCTGTTGCCTGAATTGTATTTTGATCTATATTTTTTCTTCTTCTTTCAGGCTGGCATTGTGAAGAAGGAGCACATCAAAATGCATGGTTTTTAAGCCACAGCAACTGAACTGTCTGCACACTGCATGCTCCTAATGTCAGTGCAGAACACTCTTATCAAAAAACTACTTATATGTTGGTGCAATTATATCATATGGTCATTTCCCAGTTCGTTTGATATGATGTATGCATTTCGTGGTACTGGTGTTTTCTAGTTAGTTCTCTGGATTCTGTATTGTGGAATGATAATGGAATGCTATGTAGTTGCTTTCCCCCTTCAACTAGTTATCGAAATTTAAACTGTACACCCCTAACCCCTTACACTCGATATGTGATTTTTTTGAGAAGTGCTTGAAAACAAAATCAGGCCAAATTTTTTGCTTGTTTATGAAGCCGCTTCTGAAGGAACCTGTAGTTGCTGACTAATAAAAACATGCCAGTGATATCTGGCTACAAGGTTTCTACGGTTGGAATTCAATATACTTTGTTTAAGAAGATGACCTTGTTCAACTGTCAAAACTTAAAAATAAAATTTTCTCCATCCATTTCTTGTGAAGATCCTATTGTAGGAGTGTTTTATAACTTTTCTTGGACATTTGTCTCGGATGAACTTAACAAAAACTCTCTCATAAACCGAATGTGGTAATTGATAGTTTCTCATAACTTCATTGGGTACCATCAACTGTGAGATTCGTATGTTAGCAGTATTGCCTTTGTACGGAAGAATCAATAACTTGAAATAAGTTATTAGCGGGCATAAACATCAAAGGAGAGAAATAATGGCCAGTTGATCCGTATTTTGAAAGGATTTTGGTTTCTGTGGTCTAGTATTCGTTCATATGCAAGAAAAAAGATCAATCCTTCTGCCTGGCAACCCAACTAATTGTGTGCGTGACAACCTTTTGGTATTTTAAACAAAAATACAATTACAAACAAGAAATCGAAATTAAATGTATTAACACCCTATTTGGTCATGCTTTTCATCTTTTGGATTAGCGAATAGNAAGTATTTCTACAAAACTTTTGCAAGCATTCAACGAACCTTCAATGACCACATCTATTCACTTTATAAAAAAGAAAAAGCCCTTTTAATTTCGACTATTGCTTGACCAGTTGCAGTCAGTTCAAAGGTGTTAGAAGTATCCTAAAATTTACATAAGGATGGATGTGTTTGCTCTGTTTGCTTTTGGTTAGGCGATTGGTCTTGGTTGGTTCCTTCTTGCTTCTCATGCTGGGCTTGAAAGATTCTCAGTTGACTGGTGACTCCACGTGAATCAAAAATACAAACTAAATCCATAGTAAAAGGTCAAGTTCACACGTGATGTGAAACCCTGCTTATACTATTACTAAACCATTATTGATACTAGTCATCGTATGAGACATTATTACATCAACACGGACATGGGACCAGACCTAGTCACTATATATATATCGTCATCACTTATCAAAGTTAAAATTTAACTTAGGTGAATTTAATTTGGACTATTTTAGGTGAGCCCTGTTTATTTATTATTGCATTAAGTCCCTACCTAACCTGTGACTCTAATTATAAGGTCCACACTATTATTTTAGAAAACCAACATTATTAATTGATGCATAAGAGTTGATAAATGTCACCAAGACTTGATGAATTAGTCATGCTAACATTTATTAGTTTCATAAGCAGAAATATATGTGGCCATTTGATATTTCCAAATTAACTTTAAGATTATGTAGCTTTCAAACCCGTAATTTTTGGAGCCAAAAAGTATTTTTACTTTTTACTTGAAAATACAAAACACCAATTTCTTTATGTATCAGTTAATTTAATCAGGAATTGTCTCCAAATGATTAATTTGCAAAATTGGTTTTTTTTTTTTTTTTCAAAGTTATTTTGTAAATATTCAAAATAAAAATGGTATTAATATTGTTGAAAAGAAGTAGCTTTTAGGGATACAAAAGCAGAAGGTTCCAATTATTTATGTTTAAAAGTAATTATTTAATGAGAAATAATAATTTAAAAAAGATGATAAGGAGGAGAAGGATATCATATAGCTACTTGCAAGTTAAAAAGTCTAATTATAGAAATGATGAGTACAAAGAGTGGATAGTCATTTGCGCTGTCCCTAATCCTATTTGTCTAAGCATCATCCTTGACTTCAAATTAGTATGCATCAGAGATTAACATGTTCATAT